TCCGAGGTGCTGTCAATTAAAATTGGGGGGGGCGGAGCTGAGCAAAGTCGCATTATCACCAGTATGGTGCTCAAGGCTGTTGCCAACGATAAGCGCAGAACTTGCGCTCCTTGCCACGACGAATGTCATGGGCCTGGACTGACTGTAGGTCAGACAAGTGAGCATCGGTCAGCAATGATGGGGCTACAGGAGGGAAGACTTAATTTGATAGTGGCGAAGTGCCGCCTATTTGTATACGAAAACGTGGAAAATGAATCTCTTATTGTGATGAACAGTTAAGTTAACGTAATTAAAATATCGCAGAATGAATTTTTTAACTGAGGTAAAGTCGCCGATTAAACTTCAAAATAGAGAAATCACATTCCTTCTTGATATGCCAAATGGCGGAGATATGTCGCCGAATAAGGAAGCAAGAGTTTTAATCGCCAAGCAGTTTGATTTTGATTTAAGACTACCGTTTACAAACGAGCTTGTTTTCGAAGTTTTATGATAGACTAGACTGAGCAGAATTAGGTAATAACTCAGCGGAATTCTAAACGACCGTGCTTCCTCGAGCCAAATTGTCTGAAAAATATCTTTCATGCCAAAATATCTGAAAAAATTTAAATCGCTCTATATATATAACAAGACATTTGCCAGTCGTTTTTCTGAAACAAATCCAAGAACATCGTTGATAATCGTTCCGAAGAAGATAGGCTACGCTTCAAAACTTCGGACTTGTATAACTTGTATATTGGCTGCATATTTTAATTTATTTTGAATGATATCCAAACTTGATTAAATTACTGACTAGAAAATAAAGTGGAAATATACGGCTTTATCGATTTTTCAAGAATTGTGCCAAACTATGGATCATGTAATGGCTGGAAACTTGAAATGCAAATATAAGGATTTGTTTGGGCAGGTTGTTGCAAATGATACAGGTTTCATGTGTGCTATTTTATGGACATAACATAGTCAAACTACATGGCAAAAATGTTGACCAAAGCCAATAAACTGAAATTCTGTCGAAGAAGTTCAAAATATTAATTATGCATGGAATATAAATTACGCACTCTGAATTATTGAAAACATCTCAATAATTTCCTTCGAACAATGCTTTAATCATGCTTTTAGAAAAAGAAAGTTATTCAAGTAATAAAAAGTCGGGAAAATGAACTAATTGTGAGAAAGGTTAAATAACGAAGTAGTAATTCAAAATGTTTTGAATCTGTAAGTATTAAAAGAATTCAACATTATTGGAGGTGTGAAGGCAGTAAGAATCAACTTAATATTCCCATAGGTTAGAAATTTTTAGGTTTTATAAGACAGAGACGGTTTGCTGCTCTGTTATTAGCCCACGAAATATTTTCTTTTTCGTATTTTCCTCAGGCAGTTTTGTTTTACACTGATGCCCATTTATATCACTTATTATTACGCCACTTAATGCAATCGCGGTTAGTTTTATCTTTCGGATATTGCTATCTGTTAACCGATATCCCGCCTGTTGTATACGAAAACACAGAAAATACATCATTGGAGATAAAAAAAATCCGTTAATATGATCAAAATATAAAAGAATAAATTTTAAATTCGCCATGGAAGGTCAAAATCGATTCTAAATATAGCCCAATGACTCTCAAAGAGAGCGGTTATATCGCCAAAACTTGGTTTCGAGCTCAGTCAGCCATTTAAAATTGGGCAATTAGCAACCTTTGTTTAATGTACATTGCGGCGGAAAAAAGAAAGACTTCTGTATCTCCGTTGTACTGGGCCGATTGACAAAATTCAAATTGCGTTTTTCATGTCTCGAAAGCGCGACTTAGGATATGTATTAGATTTACATTTAGCATTGTTCTAATATAGATATTTGGACGCAAAATCGCACTTTTTCTGAAATAACATACCAATTTTTTTCCATATTTCGATTCAACGACTTAAATTATGCCAGAGTGCCAAGTTTCTTTAAAAATCGCGCAAGGAGCTTTTAGAAAATTAGGTTTAAAAATTTTAGCTCCTTCATGTTAATTGAAAGGCCCACCAGCGGCCGGGCAGTAAAGACGCTGAACACTGGCAGTTCAGTCCGAGGTTCGAATCCCGCGAACGGGCAGCTGCATAGGCGTTTTCCTAGTTTTCTCCATGTATAACGTGTATACGAACCAGTTTTCCTTAGAAAGTCCTCCACCAAGGCATCCCCCTTTAGGCAGATAGTCCTCGTGTCCATAATAACCTATGTCCATAGTAATCTCGTCCATAATTGAATGATCCAGTCATGTTAATTGAATTTGATATATATTTATTAATATACCTTTTTTATTAAACTTATTTGAGTCTTCCTTTCACATTTCAAAATTTAGTTTTATTTAAAATAAAATTCGCCTAGTTTTATGATTTATTTTTAAAATTTATATTTTAAAATAATTTTTATATTTTTTTCAAAAATTTTTAATTAAATCTATAAATATTTGTCATCATCTTAAAGTAGATGTACTTCTAAGCATACTTACAGAAAATTACAGATTTTTTTATTCAAAATTTCCTAATATATACGTGAATTTACTTATTGGCGCGTTTCGAAATTTGGCATATTGGTTTTACGCGGTAATTACGCAAAATGGGGTTTATGCACTTTGTTAAATGTATTTGAAAGTATGAACAATGACCTTTTTCCCCCCTCGTGTACAGTGAAAAAAAGGAAAGGAAAATAGGTTGCTATAAATTAAAAAATTCGTCGAGTAAATTATTTTTGGTGCAAACTGAGTAAAATGCGCCAAGATAAATTTTTAAATTTCTCACCAAAAATTTCAAATTTTAATACGCTAGGCATAATTTGAGTCGTAGAATCGAAATATGAAAAAACAATTGTATGTAATTTCAAAAAAGTTCGATTTTATGTCAAAATACCTATGTTAATATAAATATAGTTTAGTTTAGTGACGGAGGACGTGGGCACCATCCCTTTACCGTTATGGTTAATTGGTAATAGCACCACGTCCACCCTTATCTAGAGACTAGTGGGACTACAGGTCATACTTTACAGTACTTACGATATCATACAATATAAATAAACCATACAATTTCCTACATATGCATGATACAGTATATAATCAAACAGGATTATTAAAGCATAATGCTGGTGCGTATACAGTTAAAATGCAAAAGTTAAGATGTAAAATACTAAGTATCGATTAAAGTTATATGACTAAATAATATTATATTATTCATGCATAAAAACCTTAAAAAAAATAAATAAATAAATAAAATAAAATAAATAAATAAATAAAAATAAGTAAATAAAAAAATAAATATAATGCGCTGTTATATATATATATATATATATATAGAATATGCCATACAAAATAATACACATACACATTAGGAGCAGAATGTGGAATATAGGATCATACAAATACAGGATCAAGTCGTGAGGATCATTGAAAAGTACATACTTAATGTGCTTCACAAATTCAGCCATAAGTATCATTCATACAAATGTAAGCATTCTGGAACAACAAAAACCAATAATGGTGTACCCTCATATTTGCTACAATACACTACACTGGTACAGTAATTTCTTATGAAATATTTTACTTTTACATTTCAGAGACACAAAATTTGATAGAATTTGTACTGAGTGACTATTTGAAAGGGTACGTTAAGACTGTGGTAACTAATAAGCAAAGTAAACATATTGTTTTTCATAGGGGGTGCATAAGATACAGTACAATGATCATTTCATTAGATCAGTCCGTTATAAGAATATCACTAAAATTTATAAATGTAGCATTAAACCAGAGTTTACCACGAAGATTATGTACTTTGCATCAATGCATTATGCCTATGAATGCTACACCTGGCACAGGTCTATTCCAAGACCTTTAACCTTTTCCATAACCTTGTTAATTTTATTAATCAAGTGCCTCTGCTTGATTAGAAATTTGCAAAAGGCTTGACGATTTTGCGAAGGGAATCTGATATGTAAGCCTTCTGTAAGAGGGCATTTTTCAAGGTAATGCTCCGGAGAGCCTAACTCTCCGCAGGTGCAAAAAGCTGGAATCGCTTATTTTAAATCTCTCAAAATAAAGAGGAAAAGGGCCATGCCCTGAAATATAACGTGTCAGATGGGGATTTCCACAGCATCTATCTTGTGTAACGTAAGAAATATGGTAATAAGTACGACGACCAGTGGTACTATAATCCCATTCTTCTTGCCACTTACTGATTGCTTTGAGACGTAATGCAGATTTCAAATGTGAATGCGGCCAAGGTATGTGAATTTGTTCAGCAGCAATTCCAAAAGCGGCCTCCTTGGCGAGAGTATCTGCAACTTCGTTTCCATATTCACCCATATGTGCCTTTATCCAAGCTAAGTGGATGTCATGGCGTTGATGTTTTCTAAGGTCTTGTTGAATATCTCTAATGATTTTGGATGGGTGTTCTGGATTACTAATCGCATAAATAGCTGAAAGGCTATCAGACTTTATAGTAGCCTTTAGGATTTGGTGGGTTAGCAAGTAGCGAATAGCTTGCGCTATTGCTACTGCTTCCCCTTGAAAGACACTGTTATTGTTAGCCAAATGGCCCTTCCATTGTGCAATGACACTATTTTTTTGTAAGACAGCAAATGCGCTCCCCACATTTCCTTCAATTTTAGATCCATCCGTATAAATTACTATACTCGAGGGGCTACGGTATTCTGTAGGCGGGACATGTAGTCTAATGCCAACACCATAATCCGCAGGGTGAATGCTGTCAGATGTTAGTTTGGTTTCATATTCCTCCGAAGTAAAATTTTCTTCAGCAAATGCTATTGGCTTGTGTAGCTGTATTAACATTTGTCGTGCTGCTTCCTCCTCAGTTCTAATATGCAGTGGGAGCAAACCAGCCAAGACATTTATTGCATCAGTGGAAGTAGTAATACCAGTCAGTCACTTAATGTACATGTCAAAAGCCAGATAACCACCTTTCAGAGCGACTGCTGCGAGACGTGAGGAAGAGAGTCACAGTCCTGAAGGTTTCTGATGTTGAGCCATGCCGACTCGTGCCGTGGCAGTGCGCTAGATTACGCGGTTGAGGATCCATGGTGCGAACAACTCGATCGAGATGGTCCCACAGATGCTCGATTGGGTTTAAGTCAGGTGAGTTTGCTGGCCAGGGGAGGACGGTAAACTCATCCTGGTGCTCTTCGAACCACGCACGTACACTGGCAGCTGTATGGCACCTCCCATTGTCCTGCTGGAAGATGCCATCATCCTGAGGAAAAACAATGCGCATGTAGGGGTGAACATGGTCCGCAAGGACAGATGCGTACTTGTATTGATCCATTGTGCCTTCCACAATGATCAGTGAACCTAGAGAATGCCAGGAAAACATTCCCAGACCATAATGCTCCCGCCTCCAGCTTGGACCGTTCCGGCAATGGTTGCAGGGTGGTTCCTTTCAGAGGTTTCACGCCTTATACGTCACGTCCATCTGTCCGATGGAGCATAAAACGTGATTCATCCGAAAACGCAACCTGTCGCCACTCAGTGGACGTCCAGCTGCTGTACTGGCGTGCAATTCTAGCCTTCGCCGTCGATGAACAGCAGTCAGCATAGGTGCACGAACTAGGCGTCTGCTTCGGAGGCCCAGACGCAGCAATGTCCGCTGAATAGTACTTTGGGAGACACTTTTGGTAGCCCCTTGGTTCATTTTGGTGGTCAGTTGCTCAACGGTAGCCCGTCTATCTGCCCGAACGCATCTCCGCGACCGTCGTTCGCCTCTGTCATCTATGGCCCGTGGTGCACCACATTTGCCACGTCGCTGATTTTGGACAGTCCCATTTTGCCATGCACGGTACACTTTTACCACGGCGGCACGCGAACAGTTCACAAACTCAGCCGTTTCGGAAATGCTTCCACCCTTGGCCCGAAAGCCAATGATCATGCCCTTTTGGAAGTCGGATAAATCGCTTCGTTTCTGCATTACGCCAACGATTGAAATGTTTTCGAAAGAAGCCGAAAAGCCCTCACACACCCTTTATATACGCTCAACTGCACTGTGCTGCCACCTGCCTTCTGTGATTGGTTATTTAACTCTGACATGGAAAGTACGTGGTGGTCACATTAATGTGACTGGACTGTGTATATGCCCGAGTTATTCCTAAGGCAAAAGGGCGCTGAATAGTAGAGAGATGCTTGATTTTTCTCCTCTGCATAGGGAGAGCCCAAATTGCTGCTGCATAAGTTACTAACTTTTCTACAACCGTTGTGTATAAGATCTTTTGAATGTGGTGGTTCAAACCCCACTTGTATCCATAAAATTGTCTTAGTTGTTTGGCGATGGCCAGGGTACGCTTTTTAATAGAGAGAACATGAGGAATCCACGTAAGTTTTTCATCAAAGGTAACACCAAGATATTTTAATTCTTTTACAATTTTGAGCCTCTGACCATTGAGTACAATACGCGGTCTCCTTGCCAAAGAGCCTCCCTTCTTAGGCACCAGTAAAATTTGACACTTATTTTCTGCTATGACTAATTTCAGTTCGTCACAATTTCGCTGGAAAATTTGACAGGCCTCATTGCAGTTCTTTTGCAATTCTTCACGAGAATGTCCCTTGACAACCAAGGCCGCGTCATCGGCATAGGCAAAAATGTTCGTATGCGCAGGCCAGGAAGCATTGAGTAGCTTATTGAAGGTTTTTATCCAAATCGCTTTTCAAATTGTTGCCACTAAATTTTATCACGATGTGTTATTTTAAAAAAATTAAATAATGAAAAATCTGTATGTATGTTTCTTGCATTACGGAAAATTAACAGCACCTAAAACCACCGAATGTTTTATTACACGTACTCCTCCACCCTAACATGGACAGCCCCAAGTTGGAACTTCGAATTTGTTTTTCATTTATTTCATGTTTTGTACAAATTTAACGAATTTTTGGTAAATAAACTTGGCGATTTGAAAGCGAAAAATGGCAACGCCGTTCAAATAAAACGTTTTTATATCAGGTATGCCAGACTGTTGTCGTTCGCCAAAATAAAAGATAGTTATCTGACAATTTCCATCAACAACTTTGGCTTTTGGCAAGCAATGTGTTATCGGCTGCCTCAGATAGAACACTTATTACCTCGACGCACCAGCATGTTGCCATTCCGTAAAGTATAAGATATTTAACTTGCAAATTCAATCTCTCTGTTACGGAGTAGTCAACCAAGTGACTGAGAAACAATAAAATCTGTTCTTAGCAGTACTTTTCCTACTTTAAATTCTGATAGATTTAAATAAAGATGCATTTTAATCATGAGATGTATGATAAGAAATATTAAATATTTTTATGTAATGACACAAGCTGAACTCATTAGAATCAGTATTTAGATTCTCCTTTTTTACTTCCTTGAACGAAGTAAAGGAAGTACTGTAATCGCGAAAAATTTCGGGCATATCATATTTCAACGAAAATTTCCATTTTCACCACTATCGAATGCAATTTAACGATGTTTTTGCGTTACATCTGTACATAAGGACAGAATAAACGACTCTTTTCCCAAAAAGAATTATAAAACTGATTTAAAATGAATTTTGAAAAGAATTTTTCGTGGCGTATGTGCGCACGTACGTACGTAACTCAAAAACACGTAGTTTCAGAACGTTGAACTTTGTATATAGCATGTAGTGCACCTCGTATTTTGGTTGCAATCGGCTGCGCCAAAAGTATATAAATATATGCATATATATATATCCAATCTGCTACTCGGCTCAGTGATCTCAGTTTCTTTATTTTAATATGATTGTAAATTGTGAATATTTTTGCTTTAAAATTGATTGAATTACGCTGTTCTTATCGTCGTCCGGTTAAGGTTTTTATGCCTTTAGTAAATCTGCATGAAATACTTGTAGAATTATCAACAATTTAAAAGCTGTTTAAGTGCGGCTATATCTAATTATTTTTGCCATGGCGGTCATGTTTTGTTTACATTTAAAACTTAGCAGAATAGAGGTATTGTTGCCAATCTAGAGAAACTAAGCTTCGCAACAACAAAGATAACACCCTCTTTTATTATTGCGAATTAAATCATGCTTAATCCATACTAGAATTTATTCGAGGAAATAAGTGTTTAAGATTTAGTGTCTGTACGTAAGGACTGAGTAAACAACTCTTTTCCCGAAATAAAATTATAAAATTAGATATTTTGATTTTTATATAACATAAAAATCACTTGGGCACAGCTATCGAAAATTTTTAATATAGATTTGATTTTTATCTATTTTTGCCTTGTCGCGAAGTGAACTAAATAATTAATTGAATGAGAAATATTAAATCGTCTGTTAAAAACTACTTTTTTTTTTTTTTTTTTTTTTTTTTTTTTTTCGTTTCCTTAATTTTTTTTATACATCGTTTTAGATTTATTACCGTATTTGACTAGAACATGTGGCAACGATTAGATAGTTCTTCAAATGATATAAATTTTGTGCATCCTGATTTATAATATGAAGGAAATGTAACGCTGTTTAGTGAACCTAGCGCCAGAGTGTCGCTATGTTAAACAAATATAGTGAATTTTAAAGAGTGCATTTACTCTATTGTGATTTATGCGCTATCGACGAAGTAGATTTAATTCAATCCAATAAATTTAAACTAAATGCCCGAAAAAATGCGTATAATTTAATATTCTGTACAAGGAAGTCATGTGGTGTACACATCAGATTTTTTATTACATGTTGTTCTTACTTACATTTTGTTAAATTGTGCATTTTTTTGCTTTAAAAATGATTGAATATTTGTTTACATTTGGAACTCTTTAGCGGAATAGGGAATAAAATCTGTTTTTACGCTTTCAATGTCATTTTGCCGAGTTGGACCAAAAGTAAACTTTCAATTTTGTGCACCAAAAAAATCTTCCTTTTTCGCTGCCGGCCGAATTGTTTGTTTTTGCATAGAAACTCTAATCTTAATTGTAAAAATTGATTTTTAATTATATTTGATGTTTTATTTTTTCTATATTTTTCAATTTTTGATAAAGATAGTTTGAGATTTTATGTATTTTTGCCTCACCACAAAGGGGAACTGAATTAATTGAATGAGAACTATGTCTCTAATGAAATTCAAGGAAATAAGTTTAAAATGAATTACAGCAAAAAATGCGTACAATTCAATATTCCCTGCAAGGAAGTCATGTCGTGTACATTTTAGATTTTTTATGATAATTCTTTCGGGAGGCTAGTTTTCATAATTATTTTGTGATTTTCCTCGTGAATTTTATATGGCATAAATTCAGAAATAACAATAAAGAAGAAGAAAAATTATGTTAACAGGCGTGAGTCCAAAAGCAGATCGGTAAGCTGCGATGCTCAGCGAGAGCAAAAAGAAACTTAACAAATCCTCTTGTGCGGCTCTAAAATCTGAAATTTTTCAGATTTTCTTGATTTATTATTATCCTGCCTTTATGTGTTATTTATCAAGAATTTGAATTTTATTGTTGCATTGCTTTGTCTTAACTGCAGTTCATTTATTTATTTATTTATTTATTTGCAGTGACCCTATTTGCAAATAAATCATCATTTCCCTTTGTCTACACCACGTCTCTACCAGGCTCACCCCCTCTGTACGGGGGAGTCAAGCGATATCCTGGATCACGAAAGGTAAGCGTTCATTGGGACTTTTATTAAGAATTACGTTATGACTAAATCTAAATTTAAAAATAATGAATGATTCATTTTTAAGCGCAGTTGGTAATTCTGAAATATGTATCTGAAAGGAAAATTCGTGATATTGAGCTACCGTTTGAAAGGTGAAATTAATATTATTAGCCCAAAGGGCTATTAGTCTCAAAATGTCATTTTGAGTTATTTCACTTTCTGCATTGGTTCCTTTTTCCAACTGTTGCCACCAAATATTATCGCCATGTATTATATAAAAAGAAACTATACAATGTTAGATATACATATTTATACTTATACCTAGAGCCATCCAGTTTTGAATAACATAGCCCTCAGGCCGAACATGGTTCGTTTTATTATCTATTTCAAATTTTTTGAAACTTTAATAATGAATTTTTGATTAAGAAACTCAACGATTTCTAAGCGAGCAACGGCAAAACTATACGAAAAAAAACAGTTTCATCTTCAGCGAGAATGTGTATCAGAAATTCTAAAGATATGCTCATTTTAAAATTAATATTATTTTGCGATACTGCCGTTGAATTGAGTTTTATGATTTAAGTGCGAAGAACATGATATTTAATAAATAAAGGTAGCACACAAAACTTTAAGCATAATCTAAAATCTAGAAGCTTTCATACATTCTTTTCTTTCTTTTTAATAATTCATTTCAGTACAAAGTAAAAAATACGCAAACATTCATTTCAAATTTTCATTTACCCTATTACTCATTGCAAATTTAAATATAATTGTGTTCGTAACAAGTAATTATAGTGATGTTCAATTCATTTCGATATAACACCGCTGTGCCATTTTTTCAAAAATTAATGAGAAAAAGGAAATAAGAATTATAATCCAAATTCGTTTTCAAATAAAATAGGTGCGCGTGAACCATTTATTTAAAAAGGATTGCTTAAATTAATAAATACAGGGCTAGCATAAATTATTCATTCATTTTTAAAAGTCTGCATTTTCAAAAGTATTACGCGTACACACATGAAAAATATACGAAAAGAATCACAAAGTCACCTAGTGTTTTTTTTTTTTTCACTATTTCACCAAGTTTCCCGGATAAGTGGAACTTTGCTTCATCGCTAAGTATCAGCTTGGTGGCGAAATCTTCGTCCTCCAAATCGCTGCACGTTGACGTAAAAATCTAGTCGACGGGCGTAATCCACCGGCTTTAATTGTTGCAGGGGGCCAACCAGCGGCCGAGCGGTAAAGTCGCTGAACACTGGTAGTTCGGTCCGAGGTTCGAATCCCGCGAACGGGCTGGCTGCATGGGCGTTTTCCCCATGTTTAACGTGTATACAAGCCAGTTTCCCTTAGAAAGTCCTCCACGAAGGCATCCCTACCTTTAGGCAGATAGCCCTCAAAACTTTGCCATAATCACATACACACATTAACTGTTGGAGCTACTACACTTGGCACGGTTTGAAATGCAACCGTTAACGCAAAATCTTCCACACTGGTATTCCGAACATCTGGTCAGTTGACAGGACGAACAGCTGGGCAACAATGCTGCAAAATGTATGGAATGAGCTCGATTATCGTCTACACCTGTGTCGTGGCACCAAAGGGGCACATATACTTTGCGCCGCTTCAGATAGCGACTGATCTGACTTTGTTGTAAACGTCTTACAGTGTTAATAGTCATCCTGGCAGAAGGGATTATTTCTTACATATAAAAGTATAACTATTACATGGGCATACAAGGCCTGTGTATAAGTATAGATATATTAGAGACATTTTCATGTAAAAGTTCGTGAGATAGTTAGATATTGTTGCGTGCGTACGGGATCGTAATAAGTTGAATGCACAAGTCCGATTACAAGTGTGTAAAATTTGTTACTGTCATAACAAATTAACCGAAATGCTTAAATTTCCATGGATATGCGTACAATATTGCAATATCTCACAGTAGTTAAACTATTCAAACGTTCAACAGAACTGAATTCAAAATAGAAAAAGCTAATCCGATTTCACCGCGAATTCGCTACAGTAAACAACAGTTTTCTATACAAACTCATTTCTTCCGAGTTGAGATGTCATTTCTCTGGCTTTTATAAGCCTTTTAATCAGCACGAGCATAGTCTTTTATTTTCTCGATTTTTCCCGAAAAGCAGAAGCGCAAATTACGAGATATCTATTTATTAAATGCGCGTGCTCCTGTATTTTTGATTTTTCTGGCTAGCTTTCTCTTCAAATAAGTCGCGTGCAGCACTGCACGGGGAAATGAAACAGTTTAATAACAATTCTATTAAAAATAGCAAACTAAATAAATTAATACGAAAACCGTAACAATATAATCATGACAGTTGTGTGCACATTTAAACATTATCCGAATTCATATTTACAATACTTTTACCGAGATAATCAAAGTAAACTTCTAATTTAGTTACACAAAGACTGTATTTTCTATGTCATTTTTAACTGCTTTACAACATTATTTTTAACAAGCACATGCAAAATTGATAGTAATAAGCGTTAGAAAAGCCTTTTCTCTTACAGTCCATTACTATTCTAGCGGTCAAGCTATTTTTCCAATGTTGATTTTCAGTTGTACTGCTGTCTGGCTTAAACTTGGTAGGCAGTTACGTGACTCAAATTTGTGGTACCTTATCCGGGCCACATACTGAATAATTTGTAGAGGGTGTATAAACTTAGTGAGTTTGCGGTTCTTTTCATGTGTGTTTTCGTGTATGGTTCTTTTCATGTATGCGCGCGAAATACTTTTGAAAATATATCTTTTTCAAAACGAAGGAATCATTTATGCTAACCCTGTGTATTTGACTTATTACATCGAGGAAAATAACTGCGCAGAAGATACTTTTGCTGTAAATGTGACATTATTTTCTCCCTCCTTTCTGCATGTCTTCGTGGTGTAACAGTTATCACATTCGGCGCGTATTCGAGATGTCCAGGTTCGAGTCCTGGCGAGGGCATTGCTCATTTGTTACGTCTCCAGCATCAAAACAACTTAATGTCCCTACAATACAATTCAAACTTGTCTAGCATCATTTTTTTTTATCGCGTTGAGCTCCACGCGTATTTCTTAGGCAATCCCGTTCAAGCCACGCGCGCCGCTTAAAAGCGCTTGTATTGTAGGGCCAGTGATTTTTATAGCAGTAGAAGATAGTTCACGTTTGGAACGTGATTCTATAGCATCATTAAACGTTATGTGCAAAATCTGTTTCTTGGCCAACTATATATTTTATCGAATAGATTCGTGGCCAGTGTCCCTTACAACAAACAGTTCATGCAGTTCTTGGCCCCGTGCAGACAAAAATTTTCTTTAACCCTAAGCGTCAAATTGTCAGTTCCGAGAGTGTGAAACCGATAGCAGCGGTGAAATTATTCTTGCTAGAAAACTGCCAAGAGAGAATGTAATCATCTTCTGACGACGAGGAGGAGATTCTTGGAGAATGGCATGACCCGAAAATGGTGGCCTAAACGGAAAGTCTAGTGTCAGCCACAGATGGATGACGCGGCCTAAACAGAAAGTCACACATGGCACACATGGCTGATGCGGCCTAAACGGAAAGTCTAGTATCAGCCACAAATGGCTGACGTGGCGCGCAACGTGTTAAGTTGCAACAGTTTAAAGGGTTTGTCAATACAGTAATAAAACATAACATACGTTATGCATTATTTTTTGAACTATTCAGATCTCAGGTATTTGGCATTTATTGACCCCATTCCAGTGATGAACTTGTAAGGCCTTAATTTTAAACTAACAAGTTTTTGTTTACTTAATTAATCACCTTTTTTATTTTCGTTTCCTACCAGAATGATATTTCAGTTTCGCGCGTTATGCTAAGTCGAGTCGGAGGATACTTTCTAAGTCGGCGTCTGAGTTACGTCAAACAAAGCGTGTTGGGCCACATTACATGTACACCCTTAAATGCATGAATTTTTATTTTTTAAGTCAAAAATACATTAGAAGTGATATCAAATAAAATAGGAAAAACTTTATAAAAAAGCTAAACTAAGTTTATAAGGTGTTTCTCCCGCCTTCTTAGTAGCCTTCGCGGTATAATGGCCAGCACACTCGGCTCGTATTCGAGAGGTCCGAGGTTCGAATCCCACCGAGGGTATTGCCCATTTTTTATCTGTCCTGCTTCGAAATATCCTTGTCCTTGACGTAAAAATCTAGTCGACGGGCGTAATCCACCGGCTTTAATTGTTGCAGGGGGCCAACCAGCGGCCGAGCGGTAAAGATTTTATTCCAATTTTTGAAAAAGTAGTAACTTTTGCAAAAGCAAATATGGTAGACAAATGTATAATAACAATTTAATTCAATAATACATACCTTATAAACTTTTCAAAACCTTGAATACATCAAAATAACAACAAACACAAAATCAAAAATTCGTAATCATAAATGATGTTCACACCCTACACATCAACTCACAATAATGACAATTACACCGTTAGTGGTGCAGCCACACTAAACGTTCAAAACTATAATACCTAAATTGTATGTAGTTGGTTACACTATGCAGTAATCTAAAATTTGTGTTTTAATTTGATTCATATGATTAAATATGAGTATGCTGACAAATGGCGACTGCATGCATTTAAAAGGGTTAAGTTTGCAATTTTACGGCCGTTCATGTTTAGTTGCCGGTTTGTCTACATTAGTGGTACGGCTAACAGCCAACTGGCATTAATTACCACTGTGTAGTTTCTCCTGATTATTTAACATAGGCTTAGTTTTGATTTTACATTTCTATTTTGAGTTGCAGCCAAAAGTATTGGCCGAGTTTTTAAGCACCAGGAGGGGCAACTATATAATCTTTTCTTGAGTTGAATAAAAGGATCTTTCTACTCTTTGTACGCCTTGTCATTGACACAGTTTGAACGTAGCGAATATTGCTTCGCAGTTCAGGTAAACACCTAGCCAAGAAAAGTATTTTTAATTTAGCTAGAATCTTTTAGTAACGTTATCTGTATTGGATAGCAACTATTAAAATAAAAGG